GCCATGCACAGTGTCATTGAAAATTGTGTATTAGGAAGTTTTGTCTGAAGGCAACGAATAGGTAAAATGGAGAGAAGAGATAACTGATGGGAGATAGATCAGATGGGAGGCAATGTCAGGCCCATACCTTACAGGGGGAAACAGATGCTAAAAAGTTATAAAACACACTGAAGAAGAAATGGCACAACTTGCCAACCAGTCATATTTGGGAATAAAAATTGCCACCTGGTTCCAACATCCCGAAGGTAAGAAATGAGAGAAGCACAGACGGAAAGTTACAGCTGGGATGGAAAACTTGCAAAGATGAAGGATGCGTAGGAAACAGTCTGTAGGTAGTGGGGGCTGTATGCTAGCGCACCGCGGAGACAGAGGGAGCACCTGGCCTACCAGCTTACAGCGTGGAAGCTGTGAAGGGGAGCTCGGGGTTAGAACCGTGAATGACCCCTCCATTCAAAGCTTGGGAAAGGAAAGGTGGGGGGCATCAGAGGTATGGGAAGAAAGAAAAGCCAGTAAGGGCATTGCAAACAAAAGCAGAAGAAAATTTCAACAAGGAATGTATGATTAAAACTCTCTCAGATCACACACAATGTTCGGATTTGGCCAAAGAAAACCACTGGTTAACTTTGAGAGAGTCTTGGGTACAGCACTAGTGTCATGAGAATGGTTGCAGAAAGGACAGATAAAAGAGGTGGGTAAGAAGGAACAATAATAGAAAATACAGAACGAGCCCACACCAATGTCCCAATTGTGACCGTTCCATATAATCACATATGTGCGGCATATATTATAAATCTCCCGAGGTCTGCTTTGTATCTTGGGTTTCCTATTGCCGCTCTGATGATTTACTGCAAATTGACTAGGATAAACCCTACAAATTTATTATTTTCTAGCTGTGGAGGTCAGAGATCCAGAACAGGCCTCACTGAGCTGAAATCCATGTCAGCAGGACTGGTTCCTTCTTTTCTTTCTCTTCTCAGCTGTAACTACCTAGGAACTGTGCAGATGTAAGGGTCCCGGTGTGGTGATTTGACATATGTATGTTGTGAAATGATTACCGCAACAAGGCTAGTTAACACATCCATTGCTTTAAATGATTATCTCTGTGTGTGCATGTATATGTAGGAAGAACATTTAAGATCCACTCTCTCAGCAAATTTCAACTACAATACAGTATTGCGTATAGTCACCATGCTATATATTAGGTCCACATGTCTTATAAGTGGAAAGTTGTACCTTTTGACCAACATTGCCATTCCCCTCACTCCCCAGCCCCTGGTGCCCACTAACTCTTCTCTTTGTTCCTGTGGGTTCCACTTTTTTGGTTCCATGTTCAAGTGAGATGATACAGTATTTGTGTAAATTATGTCTCTGACTTATTTCACTTCACATAATGTCCTCAAGGGTAATCAATGTTGTCACACATGGCAGGATTTTCCCTTCTTTATGGCTGAATAATATTCCATCGTGTGTGTGGGGGGGGGGTGTATACATTTTTATACATACATTTTATATATACATCTTTGTTCTTTCATCCATTGATGGACACTTCGGTTGTTTCTGTATCTTCGCTATTGCTAATAATGCTACAATAAACAGTGGGGTGCAGATAGCTCTTTAAGACTGATTTTTTGTTTTCTTCATATATTTACCCAGAATGAGATTGCTGGATCATATGGTAGTTGTATTTTTAATTTTTTGAGGAACCTCCATATTGTTTTCCACAATGGCTATACAAACTAATTCCTTCTTGAAGCTGTAGGGAAAAATGCATATCCTTTCTTTTTCTACCATCTAGAGGCATATTCCCCGGCTAATGGTCCCTTCCTCCATCTTCAAAACTTAGCGGCACAGAATCTTTAAAACTCTCTGATCCTGGCAGTGCTACCTGCCCTTTTCACATATAGTGATTCCACTGGGTCCATCCAGATAAATCAGGATAATCTCCTTAACCACATTCGCAAAATCCTTTTTGTCATGTAAGGTGACTATATTCGTAGGTTCCAGGGAACGGAATGCAGACGTTTTTAAGGAGTCATTGTTCCACATGCCACAAAGTCTAAGGCAAAACTTCAGGAGCAGTTTCAGATTGACTTTGATTTTCATGCATCTGTTTACCTTTGAGTTAAATAATATCTGAGATTAATTCATTAACTAGAAACTGAAAATAGCATTTTTAATGAAGAGTTTTTACATTAGTCTATTATTTCCTGCTGTAAGTTCTTTAAGTTAAATGTTAAAATTCTTGTTATAAAATTCCACTTAATGATACTTGGGTAGCAATAACCATAACCTAATAGGTTCATCAAAATATTGCTACTGGCAAAGAGCTATTTTTGATTGAAACTCTGTTTTATATTACAGAAATTGCTCTTGGCAGCGTCTTGTGCTGTTATTTATTTGCTTCACTAGTTTTTTTTTTAATACAAAATGTTCTGTTAAAGAGGCTTCAAAGCTAGATAAGGATTTTTTCCTTTCTATGCATTTATAATATGCACATTTTTAACCTCATAATGTAGACATATTTGAATTTTTCAAACTATTCAGTCTTTACTATTCCTCTCTCTATCATTTTTCCTGTATAAAATTGAAGAGATAATGAACAAAACTGCTGTGAAGATTAAATGACATAATGTGTGTAAAACTATAGCACAGTTACTGGCCCAAAAGAAGGTCTTCAATAAATTTTTAGCCTAATCCAAAATGCATTTCATGAGATTTGCTCACTAACATTGAAATACATTTCTACAAATACTACAAATGAGTAATACTGCAGATGGTGTTTCTTACTAAATAACTTTTAAATAATTGGTTGCTCTACACAACTAGAATAAATTTGGTAACATAAGAATTCAATCCAAGCAACTGCATTTAATTTTAAAAGGTGATTTATATTATAATAAACTATTCAGTCAGGCTTTCATATGGGTCACAAACTGATAACCAAGTTTTTCATTCTATCTAAAGTTACCAAAAAGTTGTGAGGAAAATTTTGTTAATTTCATATATTCAAGATAGCAAATCCAAAGGTAAAATTAAGTTCTTCGGAAGACCGACTGATAGCAAACCTAGAAGACAGAAGCACTTTAAGAAATAAAAATCACAAAATAAAAGTTTTCCAGTGGTTGTAGTTTACCTTCAAGTTGCACTATTTCAAATTCCTTCCTATAATCCTGTGTTCCTACCTCTTTAACTCCATTTGGTTAAATAATGTTCCTGTGTGTTCACTGTCTATTTTCTTATTGTGAAGTTGTCAAACGATCTCCGTCTTGTCCTTTGTAATTTAAGAGACTTTTATGTAGCTCTCTGAGGGATGATGGTACAAGTCCATGAGGAGAATAATGTATGAGGTTCAAAATGAAGGGTCATTATTAAGATTGTCTGGACTGCAGTGAATGCATAGGCCTCTCATTCATGCATAGTGGGGTTTTAATTAGATCAAAAGCAGTAGAAGCTTTTAAATGAGGTATTATGGATTATATCACTGGTTATATAGGCTTGCTTTATTTTTTAAACACTATGTTTGTTTAATGAAATTAAAGAGCTATAAGAAAACTCGCCTTTGGGTGTGGGCTTATCTGTGGCTCTCACACACGGATATTTGTTTGATAAAAACACACTTTCAGAAGTTGCAATGTTTTATGTCCTTAGATTAACACCTAGGAGTCAATCATAACTTAGACTAATATGCATAGTAAGTATTCTACATTATGAAGCTAAATGCAGAAGAACAGCAAAGAGAGTGAGTTATCTCAGTTTTGAAGAGAGGTTGATTTTTAAGTGTTTTTACTTTATCAAAGTACTCCAGGCTGTGCTCAGCAATCACTGGTACTAATGATGCTTATGTAGCCAGAAGAAAATAGCACTTTTTCTTACCATTTCAGTGCCCATTGTCTTTTGATTGCACCAGGCAAATCTAATTACTTCTTCTGATTAATCTCAATAGTTGAATAATTCCTTTCCAGGCAAAGTGAAAACCTAAATGTTTCCACAAGAGCTGATTTTGTATAAACACACGGTGTAGGCTATGCCATATTAGAAAATAGATTAACTTTTAGTTGATGGACAACTGTGATAGAGAAATGTTTATTTGAGTACACTTATTTACATAATTGCCCTCAAATAACATGGGTGGGTTTGAACTGTGTGGGGTCACTTATATATGGTTTATTTTCAATAAATATATTGGAAAAATTTTTTGGAGATTTGCAACAATCTGAAAAATCATTTTCTCCAGCTTACTTTATCACAAGAACACCATATATGACATGTAAAACATATGAAATATGTGTTGATCATGTTATCAGTAAGACATATGCTCAACGGTAAGTAAGTAGTTAGGTTTGGGGGAATGAAAAGTTGTATGTGAATTTTCAACTGCACAGGTGATACCCCTAACCTCCATGTCATTCAAGGGGCAGCTGTATATTCTTTATTATTTTAAACAGAGCCTGTAAGTCTGAAGCCTCTCCCCCTATCTGAAAATCATCTCCTTTTTCTCTTAATCCCCCAAAGCCTATCCACTGAATTCCTCACTTAGTATTTATTGTTACCACATTCCAGGCACTACTTAATCTTCCAAGAGACTGTGAGGTACCTGCCAATTTACCTAGACTTTAGAGATGAGGATACTCAGGCAGAGGGTTGTTAGATGACTTGCCCAAGATCACATAGCTAGCAAATGGTGGAGCCAGGATTTAACGTCAAAGGTCAAAGTCCAGAGCTGTGATCTGAATTAATGGAAATCTAGCTTGCAGGGGTAGAGAAAGCAATAGGGGAGAGATGACATTTGACATATCTAGAGGGGCAAAGTGGAAAAGCCAGAATCAGCACTCTGTGCAGAGGAAACAACGTGGACTACGTAATGGAGAACAGTGTGCCTGGAGCATAGCTGGCCCTCCATACACGTGAACTACTGAGTGAATATCTCGATAGCCCATCATTCAAGATGTTGCGTGTATCAGTGTTTATTGCTCATGTTCTCTGCTCCTTTTCCCTTTCAGTGCCACCGTGGGCCTTAATTGCCATAGCCATAGTCGCGGTCCTCTTAGTCCTGACCTGCTGCTTTTGTATCTGCAAGAAATGTTTGTTCAAAAAGAAAAACAAGAAGAAGGGAAAGGAAAAGGGAGGGAAGAATGCTATTAACATGAAAGATGTGAAAGACTTAGGGAAGACCATGAAAGACCAGGTAATGTATTCATTCTGTAGTTCTTCTTAGATTATTGTATTGAATTAGTAAGTGGTTCATTATTTTATGCCAGATAATATAGAAATAAACACGTGTCATTGTTGTAGAAATGTTTTACAATCCTTTTAGTCATTCTCATAGATACCAAAGTGCAACAGGAGCATTTATCAGGGTTCTCCAACGCCCGAGCATAGAAGCCGGCAAAGGGCATCCGGCACCATCAGGGCCACACTGCTGGGCCCATAACGTCGGAATGATGCCCAAGTACTGTTCACATCTGTTAAGCCAGTCTTAATTGTCTTTAAAGTTAGAGTAACAGAATAAAGAATATCTGAGTGTTCTCCCTCTTGGGCAGGGCACCTTTCTCTCATGAACACTGCAACTACTGTTAAATAACTGCCTCAGAGCTGTTTATCACACTTGATGGAAGTTACCGTTCCTATATATCCACCCAGTTCATAATTAGAATCAGGAAAAATGAGCCATAAGGAGAAGGGAGAGAAGTATGAGCCAGTCCTAAAGAACAGGACAGAAGTTTAAGACAAATTCTTATTTCGTCACTTAGGAACAATTAAAGCCATAATGTAGATTATAAAATCTGCATCTGGCTGGGTTATCTTCCCAAGCTTAAGGAAGCTCGTACTAAATTAACAAGATGACTTGATTCAGGATAAAGTTTATTCATTAATAATTACAATGACTAAATGCCTCCATTTATTTTTTGGAATCATAGTCATAGTCAATATTTCTAAGGAACGTATTTTTTTAAATATATAAATGCAGAGATTTTTCCTAGAAATAACATTTTCAGTTATCTGTTTCCCTTCATTTAACTCAAAAGTTCTATTTATTCCCAAAGAGCAACATATAAAGGCAGTTTTACAAATTCTTCTTCTGGTTTTAATTACTATTCATTGAACTTAAGCATATGAATCTCCTTAAAAACAATTTAGTCAAGGAAGGCATTTTCAGTACATTTGCATAGTTTCCTAGTTACACACAAACTCAGGACCCTCCCCAGCTTGAGTTTAAAACACTTTTTTCTCAAAGACTGCAATGCCTACGGGCGAAGACTCCGTGGGCTCTTTTTCCACTCAGTGAACTTTGGTTTGGTTTCAGGGCTTTAGGACAGAGGCAGTGCCTGCACTCACTCGCCAAGAGCTTTCCCCTGAGCTCAGAGTAACAAGAGTTACATTTTTCTCAAAGTTTCTAAAGACAGCCTCAGAAGTCCATGCACCAGTGTCCAATTACAGACATCCAACAAAGATTTTTCTGTTCAGTTATTTTGTTATGTAGAAAGTGAAATTTTAAATCATGTCTTGCTTTATTTCAACATTTTTCATAGCAAGCAGGATTTGATACAGATTTCTCTAAACAACTTACTGGAAAATTAAGTGTAAAACAATCTTCTAGATGGACAAGGACCGAATGATTTGTATGTGAATTTCAGCTGTACCTATGCAACAATTTGAAAAACGCATGATCATTTTCCTAACTATAATAAAATTGAAATGTACTTTTTCTCTATCCTAGAATTAACCATTAAAATCACTAAATAATGTTAAATGATAACGAAAGAACTTTTCCCTAGGACAAGAAGTTTGTATTTTTCTTTGTGGAATATGTCTTGTATGATGTGAGATTGTAATTTATAGCATAGTAGTGATATTTATTACCCCCGTATGACCTGGATAAGTGACCAAGATCTGAAAAGGAGTAAATAAGGTTAATTGATGGTAGTCATGCTTTATTGATCACCTATTCCTTTGGCTGGGAGGGAAAGAGAAACGGGTTCAAAAGGAAATACTAGGAAGTCAGTCATAGCTTATAGTAATCTATAGCAACACAGCATTTAGGATGCTCAAAAAAAAGGTGTTTTGAATCATTTTAAGCAGATCATATTGTCTGTGTAGTGTTTTATAGGTCTTATTTTAATTTATGAACAATTGAATGTACAGAATGAAATATAATTTGGACAAGTGAAAAATAGGCCCCATTGGTAGACAGCTATTTAACAGCAGCTCCTGCTGCTCTTTAAGGCAGACAGAAGTAGGGGATGGGGGTTCTCCCACTCTATGAACAGGAAGGAAGAAGAAACAAGATAGAACGTACAGATTTTAAGATGTTAATGTCACATGGTGATCCCTTGATCATCCAAATTTAAAACAGCATAAACAAAGTAAAATTGTTCTTAGATAATTATATTTTCAGAATATTTTAAACAGAACATTGACATGAACATAGGGGAGACAATAAATATAGTCTATGCCTCTCTCATTTAAAAACAGGACAGACGTGAGAGGCATTTTCAGTATGATTTCTTCAGATACAGAGGCTTTAGGGCAATCAGTAAGCTTTTACCACCTCAGTCCATACAAGAACTCAGAGAAATTCAAATTTCAGTATTCATGGCTACCTGTCTCTGTGAGAAGATTTTATAGCCAAGGAAGAATTTTTACATATTCTACAATGAAAACAAAATTCTAACTGTGGATAGTGTATTTACATAGCTTAAGATATATATTTAAGATTTTCTTTAATTCCTTACATTCTTGAGAACATTGAAAAAACAGAGGGGCAATGACACCCAAAAAGTCATAGGTCTGAAAAGGTCATTTCTCCATGGTTTTCACTGATGTGTGTGGATATTTTAATCTGTATTTCTTCCTTCTATGTCCTTATCTGTGTTGTGTCTCATGACTGTTCTGGACTGTCCCTTGCGGTAGGTTCCCTCTGCTATTCAGACACCTCTAGTCAACGCTCGGATACGTTTAGCGGCCTGGCAGCTGAAACTCTACAGCTGAGGGTGGACCATTCTGACACACATCAAGAGGCTGAACTAAATTGATTCTTTTTTTTTTTTAGTTAAAGTGTTGTCATTTTAAATATTACTGTTTAAGTAGAACAGTATTAGAAAGCTCAAGTCTGAAATTGATAGAGAAGATCAATCCCTTGTGCTACCATTTAGTTTGCCTCATCAGACCCAAATCTGACCATTTAACTTGGAATGAACAAACGTTCTTCCTGATGCCTGTGAACTCAGTGCCTTCTGAATGTCAAATCAAGCCAGAAGCATGTGCGCTCAGTCTCTGAAATTTAAAACAAGGTCTGACGTTCCCAGCACAGCTTTTTCAACTGCAAGGTCTCAAGCTCTCAGAGCTGCTGAGCACTAGCTTTTTACTCCATTTTTTGTTGCTGGGGGTGGTGCGGGGGAGGAGGTTCCTCCTGAGCTACTATAATAGCTACTGATTTAATAGGCCTGAACTTAATGTGATGGTACAGAAAATGTCTTGCTTAAGCTCAGCCTTTGGGACAAGAATAGACTTAATCACTTTAGTGATGAACAGTGGCGCTGAGAAATTATCAAAAATTTAGCCCAATTTCATGCAGAATAATTGCAGAGATGGTCCTGCACCTTTTATTAGGGCAAAAACCATTTAGGGAGAAGGAGATTTAATGTCTCAGCTATTTCAGATTACACTGGGCTGAAACATGATATATAAATTGTCAGTTCTGAAAGATACTTTTAAAAAAGTGTTTCAATCCATGAAATTTATTATTATGATAGAGTAACATGCGGATTTTTCAGACAGAAATATGCATTAACTGGTTTGCTATTATTTGAAAAAAATAAAATCTTACAGGGAGGCAAATCACCTAAGCTGCAATTTTCTAAGCACGTCTCCTGTGACAGTGTGAAACACCCGCACACAGCTAAGATTTGGAAAGGGCAATATGCCTTCTCTGCCTCAGGTCTCTGACTAAACTCAGTCATCTTTTCTTGTCATTTTATTATTTTCCCTTTAGTGACCCCTCCCTCAAGTTAAAAGACTAATATAAATTTTTAAATAATTGTATTGTTTCCTGTCTTTGGCTACCAGTAAATCAATATTTTACTATTCAACAAAACATCCAAATATAAATTAATCTTTCCAAATTAAATGGTGTATGGCTAAACCTTGAAAAGGTTTCTACACAGATATAATAATGGTCATTTTCAGTTTTCCAAACTCATCTGCAGGCTCCTGAAATGTTCAAGAAGCACAAAAGGGGAGATATCACTAACTACAGCTTAACTCTGTTTGTGTATCTTCCCAACCAAATGAGTTCTATTAACTGATGCCATCAAGTCTCAGTTTTTTAGGATCAAATTGCAGTTAGCTGGGTAGAGCTAAATTGGAAAATCTTGTCAATTCAGGGACAGAGGTGCCTTTTGAGGGTCTCTGTGTACACGGATGGTGGACAGAAAGTTCTCTCTCAGCAGAGAAAAAAGACCACCTAGTCTGGGAGATGGGAAGAGAGTTGGCAGGAGCTATATAGTCTCATGACTCATACCTTCTGAACCTGGTGATATTTCTTGCATTTGAGTTGTATACGAATTCTTAGATTCATTTTGATTGCTGACAAGAGTTAAGACTCCTTTACTTTGGCAGAGATATAAAGCCGTCTGCCGTCATCCCTGTACCCTGATTTTTGTGAGATTCTACACACACATGGCATGAAAATGCCATTACAAAAACTAGGAGAGAGAATATTTGCTATATATAACAAAGAAAAGTTGAGATCGCTAAAATACAAAGAGTGCCTACAAATCAATGAGTCAAACAACATGACAGAAAAATTAGCAAAGCATATATACAGGCAGTTCCCAGAGGGAAAAAAAAATATGTTAATAGAAAGATTTTTTTAACTTTTCAACCTCACTAGGGGTCAGAAAATGTAACATTTTATCATTTTTAAATTTTGAATAGTAACTGTTTCTAATTAGTTTGTCTAATTCTTTAAAGCAGTGAAAGTGCACATCCCTAGAGATAAAGCTTCTAATATTTATAATCTGTATAACCTTTGGTTTTTTAGCAAACATTTTGCACTAAATGAGAAAATGCACATTTTTATTTTTAAAAAAGAGAAACACTTAAATGTACTTAATGAAATAATGAGCTTTCTAGTATTTCAACTTATATTACACTCAAGTTTAAGGTTATAAAGAACATTCTATCAGTCCAAACTGAGTTTTAAAAGTTCAGTATCATGATTTTTGTTCGTTAATGCAAAATGAATTTATACCAGTTTCAGTCTGACAAAATTGCAAATGTAACTCCTTTTTTCTTTTGCTATCAAATAGACCTATAAATCAATTTAATTCAGCCTAGCTTTCTGTGGAGCTGTTATGAAAATGAAATGGTAGACTTAAACTGAAAGTGGGGTAGATTTTTCTCTAAACATGCATTTGCTGGTGGCATGTTTTTTCCTCTTTTTCCATAACCATTACAAATGTATATGTGAAACATAGAAAATTAAAGTTTTCTGAGAACCACTTACTCAACCCTCTTTTTCATAGGAAACAAGGCAAGAAAAGGCCATACATTTCACATAAACTACTCCCTGCATGTAACAATGATGTTTTACATGATGCTTAGCTTAGCTCTCTTTGAACTACATGAATGTGAAACCTGGCCTGGTTCATAGCATGTTTATCACACTTCTGAAAGAAGCAGTTTTATCAGAGCCAAATATAATACTCCAAGATGACATTTTCTTTGCAACAGATTTACGGTTTTTGCTTGCAATATTCTGAGGGGCTTCTTCCATTGCTTCCATGTTGCTTGCTGATTGGGGGGGAAATTCCGTGCACAAATGGAATTTTAAAACTATGTAAGCAGCAAATGTGAATGTGTGTCAGACAAAATGAGATTTCCAGCATTTTAGTGCTTGCTTCTGGTAGCTTGGAAGTATAACCACAGGCACAATTTAATTTGTGTTTTGATGAAAATTCCCTTGAATTCACATACAATCCATTTCCCTACTTACAGGCCCTGAAGGATGACGATGCTGAAACCGGACTGACTGATGGGGAAGAAAAAGAAGAACCCAAAGAAGAGGAGAAACTGGGAAAACTCCAATATTCACTGGATTATGATTTCCAGAATAACCAGGTCTGAGGGAAAAAAATGTCTTCTAAATTCCATTCTGTTTTCTGAAATTACCAAATAGAAATTGAAGCAAGATACTTCTTAAAACATTTCGATTAATGTGAGGGGAAAATGCAATTATCAAACTTATTGATGAAATAATTTCTGAGTACAGGCAGTCCCCTACTTGCTAATTTAACTTCTGGTAATCAGAAATACACAGTGTTCAACCGATTACATCTACTTATGGCACTTACAGCAGGCAGGGGGAATACCAATTAACTTGAAGTAGTCAGCCTGATTTTGAGAGTTTCCAGCCACAGTCCTGCCTCCCCAGGTCCCTTGGCCTAAGCTGGAATAATCTTCCTTGGAATTTCTGAATCTCGATCCAAACATGGAGAGGGGCCTTTGAGTTAGGCTACCATTCAAGCCAAAATTTTGCAACATAATGTAGTGGTCTGATAAGGAAAGATAAATAATTGTCATCCATGAATTTCAAGGGTAAGAAGGTCTTATATTGCTGATATATTAGGTAAAACTCCTAGCACAAATAAGATAACACTGCCAAAGAAGGAAGGCCAGCAGCTTGATTCCTGGTGCCCATGACAGCCGCCCCAAAGTGACAAGGAACTCAAGAGGGTAACAAAGCCGGCATTACTGCTCCAATTTCTCAAAAGCCATGAACTGCCACGGAGATGAGTGATAATAGCAGCTACCTTTTATCAACTGCCTGTTATACAGGTAGCTCAAAGATGAATGTAAAAAAATCTCTCTACACAAAAACACTTTCTAGGTTCCATGAAATTGATGAAGATGTCCTTTTACCTTCTGAAGTGCGAAAGCAATAAAAAGTTAGCTAAGAATTAGTGGAATTGGCTGATGGGGAGATCAGTTTCTTAAGAACCACTGGGCCGTAGTCCTTCTCTGGCGAGGAGGTTTTATCTCTCTAGTTTGTTTTGCTTTGCTCATCTCTTTGGGTGAGGAAGAACTGATAAATGCAAATCCAGTTACTGTTACTGCCACGTGTGTTCATTACTTTCAGTTTGATGAGGAATGAACAATAAATAAAACAAACACCAATGCTCAATTTTGATGACTAAAGTTCAAAGTCACTCACCGTGAGATCTCTAAGCAGTTGCAAGCCTCAGTTAGGAAGTGACAGTTCAAAATACATCCTCACTTTCTGGATTTCCACAGGGTCCCTCATGAAGAACATTCTGATATGCTTGGTCATATTAAAAAATAATTTTCCTTGATCAGTTTCATTACAGTCCTGGCTAGTTATTTCATACTACATTCTAGAAAGTTGCATGTTGGTTACACATGCAGGTTTATAGGTATGGATTTATACAGATTTATAGGTATACCATGTATAGTTACTTAAATAGATCATTTGAGGCCATTTCTTTCACTTCTACAAAATTTGATCATGAGGAGTTGAAACCAAAACTTCCTATTATTTATATATTCTAAGGAAGGTCAAGGCCAACTTATGTTTTCTTAACGTATAACATTTTCCAGACGTTTAACCTGCTTTTATATACATAGCCAATATTTTTTCTACTAACTTATTTTACTTTCATATTTTCCAGCAGAAATCTAGTGGCATCTCATCCTGGGTTAGTTATAATTTTGAAACTCTAAGTTGGCTTTGTGTTTGAGAAGTATCATTTTATAAGCTGATATTTTTAAGAAAATAATTGCACTGAATTTTTTCAACTCAAATATAAGAGTGTGTTTACTGTTCCCTTTTTAGCAAATGTACTTATTCTGAAGATGTAAAAGATTCTACCTGATGAAAAGTTTTTTTAATGTTATGCATTGATTTTTCCAAATGTCCTCAGCTAATCTGATTTATAAAATAATTCCTATGAGTCATGGAAGATAAAGTCTGAGAAACTTCATAAGTAAGGCTGTCATCAAATACATACACATTTGTTTACCAGAACTAAAAGACAACTCTAATGTACTCTAATTGAGAAGCTTTCACAGTGGAGAGAAATGTGATACTTATTTCTCAGGCAGAAGTCAGAGGTGGTTGAAAGAAATAACCCCACCCCTTGTCAACAAAATATCTAAGAATCCTCAAAATATAAATGATCTGGTTTTAAAGAGTTTAGGCTATATCACTGGTGCCTTCCCTGACCAAAAGAAAACCGACTGCAAAGAGTGATGAGAAGAAAAACAGAACCTTATTTATTCACACTGCTATCAAATTCCAAATGCCAACCTGGCAAATGAAGAGACCACTGTTTGCTTTACTAGTCACGTCTGTATAATCTGATGTCTATTTTTGCTATTCTTTGACCATCTGTCTGTTCTGTATACCTACAACTGAGCACTCTATGGTTACTATTGTATGTTGATGTCACAAAGATACTGAAGCATTAAAATGGAAACATGAGTCATTTGGGTATTTGGGTTAAAAACTGAGCCAGCTAGCCAAAGTATATTTATGAATATGGTGAGTCAGTTTTATAGAAAACAAATGACTTTTATTCTTTTTTAGAGAGGTGAATTGCTTTTCCATTCTCTTGTCTAAATAGTCACAGACTCAAAATTTTAGGCTCTAATGTGAAAAGCTATGATGCGACTGCATTTAGTGAACAGTATATACCTTGAACAACAGTAAGAGAGCCTACTTTTGTTTCTCATAAGGGTCTAAACCAGTCCTTTGGCACAACATGTCTGATGGCAGGGCACCTAGATTAGTCCACTCACACCTTCTGTGTCCTTTGCAAAAACATTCACAAGGTAGCCTACACTTGCATTCCTAATAAGGCACAGGAATGTATCACTGAGAAAACAGACATGAAGAAATGAAAAGATTTCTGCTGTGTTTGGGAGGATAAAATCAGAATCTTAGGCACTGAGGTATATTTCTTTGACTCCATGTCTTACATTTAAACATAGAGCTTAATATATAGTTTTACTATAAATGAAAATAAGAAGTAGCCAGCATATAGTAAAGGTCAAATATGACAGAAATTTGAAGATCTTATTTTTATCTCAGTTTCTGAGAAATGTCTATTTAGCTGGTCTGAGACTGTGGTTCAGAATAAAAATTTCCTACTTTATAATTACAGACTTGTGATTGTTTAACAATTTATTTCCACTTACAAATTATGCCCTGGAAAGAAAAATAATGCACAAGGGCTTTTAGCAACTGGGAAGTTATTTGATTGCAATCCTTTTGCAAATATGAATTCCATATTTAACTCTAATCAGCAACCTTTTAAAAGCCTCTTTTGTGCTTAAAACCTGGCTTTCTAGAGTCAGCGTCTGTCATAATTGGGTCTCTAAAGTCTACGGAGCTCACTTCATTTGCCTTCTCTGCTCAGATTCATAAGAGAATAAAAGTTTATTAAAAGCAAAGGAGGAAGGGGAACCCAATATACAGCATTGTGAACGAATCAGTCATTTTCAAACTGCGCAGTGTTTGTGCTGACTGCGCTCTGTCTGTCGTTTTAGCTGCTGGTAGGGATCATCCAGGCTGCAGAGCTGCCCGCCCTGGATATGGGGGGCACATCCGATCCCTACGTGAAAGTGTTTCTGCTGCCCGACAAAAAGAAGAAATTTGAGACGAAAGTCCACCGCAAGACCCTTAATCCTGTCTTCAATGAGCAATTTACGTTCAAGGTATTTTTTTGTCCTTATTAATAACTCTTCCTCTGTCATTTTAGATGAAATGTTGATCTCATTCTGACACAGACAGCGATGTGCACATGTCCATTTGTTCAGAATGACAAATGATTCTACTCAGAATACTTTTAATTCTTATCCTCAGTCCAGTGAGGATTCTTAACTGCATTTAGGTTTGGTCAAAGGAGGATTCAGCTTGGCCATTTCAGAATAGAATATAGACTGAAGTACAGCTAGATATCATTTGCAGATAAAAAGGGAGGTCGGCCTCAATTGTGCCTACAGGCTTAAACATTACCCCCTATCTAAAATAAAGCCAACGAAATAATGAAATAACTATTTTTTAAGTTTCAAAGTTCCTAAAAATAAGCCACAATCACATAATAAAGTAAGCTATGTTCCATTGTTTTAATGGTCCAGGTAAGTATTACTCTCATTGCAAAATTCTATATGTGCAGAGGCAGTTTGAAAGCTCTAAGACCATTCTTCTTGACCCAGCAAGGAAAACGAATATAAACCGATTATTTTTCTGCATTTCTAGCATTTTTCCTTTACTCTAGGCTCTTCCCTGTTGTCCTTCATCTTGTTAAGACACCTCAGTTGACAAACATAAACAAAGTGGGCTTCTGGCCGTATACTAAGTCAGCAGGAGAACGTGCTCAGGCAGGCCTCAGGCACCTCTGCACGCACGGAGCTCCTGTAGCCCTTGTCTTGAAGTCATGCGTGAAAACAGCTTTGGTGGATATCATCAATATGTAAAAGTTTTCTAAATACATACTTAAAACAATACATTTCTAAAAAATGAAATGTCTTACTATGCAGACAGGCTGATCCTTCAGCCAGCCTAATGATAGCATGTGCCTCATGTTAGTAAATATTCTGGTATGAAATAAATGGGTGGAACAGAAGGCATTCCTCAGCGGAGGGCATCATGCCCTCAAGTCTTGTTTCCAGTTCTGCAGAAGAGCAGTCTTTCTATTCACTCTGAAAATTTTTGAGTTAAGCCAAAAAGCCCCAGTGTATTTGTCAGTTATCCTATTTTAAACCTACAGTTTTCTATACCTTGATAGTTAATTTGGAGTAGCAGTAAAAACATTCTGGTACTATTCAGCTTATGCAGAGCTAATCACTATGGCCCATATACCACAGAACATGAGATGAAAATGAAACTAAAAAGTATTGCAAGTGGTAACCACATTCTATTTGACTATGTATCAATCTCAATTTAGGTCGACTGTTTCTAACCACAATTTAGTAAGATTTTTTTTCATTATTTAAAATAATACTGTGAAACTCTGTTTTTGTTTTCAGTCACCTGTGTTTTATTTCTTTAAAAAAATGTGTTGCTAGTAATTTTTAGTAATTTCTGTGACTCCAGAAAGTGTAGTTATTAAAATTTTGAAATTGCCTACAAAATTCTATTAGGTTCCTTTTTATTTGAAGAAGGTGGATCTAACTATCAATCAAAAAGGTGATATATTTTGATTCATTTATAAGATTTTTCTAGAGAATTGGTTGATTTCTCCAGTAGATATCATAGATTATGCATCTTGAAATGCCAATGCACTATGATATAGGAATGATTAACATAAGTATGATAGTTTAAAAAATATGGGCTTTAAAATTGAGTTCAAATCCACTTAACATGAGCTCCACATGTCCCAAGAAATACTTCTTCTTTTCCCCCAAATGAACTCTTATTTGAAGAAGCCCCTAATCATTCAAACCTTAAGTACTTATTATGTGCCGACTGTGCCAACACTGTACTGTGCCGCACATGTACGCATTCAGCTCACACTGCCCTGTGCCATACGCCGCATTGTTATGAGTGTTTGATAGGTGAGAAAGGTGAAGTTCATTCACTTCCCCCACGCCCTTCAGCTGGACAGTGGATAAACCCAGGTCCAGGCCTGCCTCGCCATTTTTAAATGATAGTATTTCAATATAATCACCAAAACATCTAGAGAGATTTCAGACGTAAGCTGAATTTTTTCAGGAGTTTATCACTGCTCTAAAATTTCTTATTTCTCCCTTTCAAATTCATCTCCTTCAGTTTATTTTTCCTTCTAAAATGGGAAAGGTTTTGTGCCTCATTTTTAATCACAATTTTTAAATCAGATTCCAAATAGATGACAAATAAGTGACAGAAAACAGAAACTCTTCAGAAAAACTAAAATTTCTGGTATATACATACATATACATATACATTGTCAAATATTTTTTTTCTCCTCATCTTAATATACAGTCTTAATTGAGAAATGTTTGCTGGAGCATAAGACAACCATTTACACTGATAAAATACTAGGAAGTGTATGAAATTGATCAAACCTTCAATACAAGTCTAAATAATTTCTTAATTAGGTATTTCTACCCAGTTACTGAAGTGTGACACATTTGGATTGCACTGCTTTCCCTGAATATTAAAAATGTCACAATAAACATCGCAACCCATAGCATCTGTCCCAGATATATCTGAACAGCTGGAGAATTCATCAGTTCTTGGCCTTTTGCCACCATTCGTCCTAAAGAGTGTTATACCTAAGAATGAACTTCAAGATCTGTATTATAATGCATCTCTGATATTCAAAATATCAATTTTTTAGTCAGTTCTTGTCAATCACTAAATTATTTTAAGGAGTAGTGAGGCACCTTGTGCATTTCATTTACATCCTTTCAGACTTCTAGCATACCTTTTCTAATCCCTGCTCCATTAAACTGGCATCCAAATGGCTGGAGAGAGTTTATAGAACTTTTGAAACAAGGTATCTATCCTCAGTAAGTTACATGCTGGCAATATAACTTAGCATAACAATAACAACAAAACATTCTACAAGAACTTATTTATACAATCAAGTGCTATTGGCTAGGCTTATTCTTGTATTAATCTTGAAGTGTTTATAACATGACTAATAATAGGATCCATTATTAATAATAGTAACAGCTTCTAGAACTTGGGGATAAAATGATAAACCACTATGGTAAATCCCTATTTTCTCCCAAGGAATATAAACCTCAAGGAGTTAGTCAAATGATTCCATTTAAGGAAAAAAAGAAAAAAAAGAAAAGCGCAGTTATCTTCCTGTCCTGTGTATCTAACAGTAAATCTAAACACTATAAACAAATAACATGATTTAAGCATATTTGTGACCAGATATTCCACCCACGTCTCTTTTTGTTTAGGTGCCGTATTCGGAATTGGGCGGCAAGACACTTGTGATGGCGGTGTATGATTTTGACCGTTTCTCCAAGCATGACATCATTGGGGAATTTAAAGTCCCCATGAACACAGTGGATTTCGGTCACGTAACGGAGGAGTGGCGTGATCTGCAGAGTGCCGAGAAGGAAGAGGTAAGGAAAGCATTAGTATTTCCAGTATGACAAGCTGTACTTGCCACTTGCTGCTCACATAGTAACCTATTGAGAGACGGTCATTACAAAGAGTGATGTGCACCCCCAGCTGCTGACAGCTGGCAAAATAGGGCCAGGGGATTGCATGACCTTGTTAAAAAGTATGCAGGTCTCTTGGGTCTTACTTGAAAGAAAAGAGAGAGTTGTGCACTGGGTCTGTAGATAACTCCTTGGATTGACACATGCTCAAACACACACACACACACCGTCTGTTTCTAAAAGCTTACACAATGCCATGCACACACACGTCTATCTTTTTAAAAGGACAATGAAAAATCATCTTCTCCTTTTTGTATTTTTCTGCAATCATTTTGTGTTTTCTACAGAGGTTATATAGCTATTAAAAAGAAATAAAATAGCACTTTTTCCTTGATTGTGTCCTCATTCACAGACAGTTCATTGTTTCTCCCAAGTGAGCAGAGCATGACGGGTGAAACATCAAATGTAATTTGCAAAGGCTGATATTAAATCCATTTTTTAAATGGCTTGCATTTTTATAGTACTCTTCACGTTGTTTTTCCCATTTTAATAGTTTAGCCCAGGATTCTTCTGTGACTTAAAAAGAGAAGTTCAATATCCTTAGTATATTTAAACTACGTAATAATCAGTTCGATTTGATTATGCTAGGCCGGCTTAGCACTAGGGTTCTTCTGTGAGAATGTGTCAACAGGCCAACAGTCGAAAAGCAGATAACTCTTAGCTTCTCTGAATTCCTAAAGCAACTCCTTTTCCAGACATTTTCCTGACATGTGTTTATAATTAGCCAAAGGGCTGCTGAGGGCCTCCATCATCTAGGCTCCCTAGACACCTAGGATTCTGTGACATGTGGTCACTGTGGGGCCACCAGGGAGATCAGAAAGTGACCCAAGCCTTCAGAGGAACTCAGCAAGCCTATCACCCAGGAATCTTCTCACTACAGTTTTCTGTGACCAATGTAACAAAGTGAGAATTTAGAGCAGGTTTGCTGATCGCTACACGGAAATTGAATTTTATTACTACCCTAAAATTATTATTTGGTTGTACAAAAGGAGTCAAACTTATTTGAGCTAAGCTCTGCTTTCTTCTTGGAAGGAAATATGCCTAATTTAATCAAACAAGTTAGTCAACATTAGATTCTTGGATATTGAAATAGATTTAGCTGCACTGTGGCTATTCAAGAACCACCCAAGGATAATACTGAGTTGTTAAATTTAACAAATTTTTTTTGTAAGTAGTTCTTCCTTATGAGCAGACTAATATCAATATTAAATCCAATATTAAATTCATAAATTTGTATGAAGAGAGAAACATTTACTCATTCAATCATGTTTCTCATCATTAAATAAATAGTGAGCTGTTTCCTTGAGTTTTTCTATCTTATTGACATGTTTGACTGTGTAAATTCTTTGCTGCTGGGGGACAAAATGAGACCACAGATATTTATTAACTGATAGGTTTGTATTAACTGACTGGCTATTGGTTGGCTTGTTGGTGCAGATCAGGTGAGGACCCACTTGGCTTCACGAGGCCCACCTGTCCTGAGAACACGGCTCACAGTCCTTTCCTCCACCTGTAGCTAGCAAGTGGCCTGGGATCCCAAGATCACACTCCACTGGGTTTCAGAAAAGTTAGCAAACCTTTTTTCCCTGGGTTAAGTGAATGTAAGGCATCAAGCAGTTTTCCTCTCTTAAAAACTTTGAATGTGGCAGAGTTTGACACTTGACACTGAGTGGCCAGGTTTGACTCTAGGATCTGAAAGGTTAGGGAGGCTGTCCAAAAAGCATCACGTTTTTAATCGCGCCACTTCACTTGCTCTCTATTTCTTTCTTCCATCATGTCTTCTCTCCCTAAGACTTTTGTCACCTCATTCAAAAATACTCATGTTGCAAATACTTACTACACGTTGCTAACTTCCTAGAACTGTGGTGTGTCAAAAAAAAAAGAAGAAGAAGAAGAAAAGAAAAGAAAAACTAAAGAGAGCAGACATTTCTCCTGCCTCCATGGAGTGTAGTGTTGTCTCACTTTCCCCCCTCTCCAGTCTTTGGCTTGTTTATTTGCCCACTAGACAGGTTTCTGGAAAAAGTCCTGTCTTTAAGATCAAACACTCCTGGGTTCCACGTCTGACAGATTCCATTTATTCACTCAGAGACACAGTACAAGTCACCCAAACTCTCTTAAAATTTAGTTTTGTAATCTAGAAATGGCCCGATATTATCTATCACCTTATTTTACACATTAAATAGGATAAAGCACGCAGCATAGAGCTTGGTATGTGGTCGGTATTCAACAGGCAAGGGATCTCATTCTTTCTTCTTCACCAGCCTTTTTTGTGTTCTTTCTTTCTTGTGTTTTCATCTCTCTATTCATTTTACTCTTTTCCCTCCTCCCGTTTGTACTTCTCCATTCTTTTTCTCTGAAAGTTTTTAATGGGAAATAATTCTACAACTACATTCTTACACTCTGGAGCCTTTTCTCTTTAACTTCTACTTGGGAACAGTAATTTTTAGTTTTCAGTTGAGTATCTCTTTTTATCATGATACAGAAACCTCACAAAAAGATGTCCAACCTATAAAGTATCTCTGGATGACTAGACAGACCCAGGTCTAAACTTCCTCATAATAAACCAGATTCCAATTACATTTTATAAAGGAAAGTTACTAAGCCCATTACTTATATTCACTGATATGTGCTCTATCTTTTCATGCTCATCATTAATGGCTGAAAATTATACTTGTGTGAATAAATTGAAGTCTTAAGTTGACTTTGGGTCTTATGATTTTAAGGAACTTGTTTTTCTATTTTACATGAACAATTTTATTCATGATTTTCATTTTGATTTCATCTAGCAGTGTTGTTTTTAATGTCACAATGAGTGAAAGATACCAAAGTTAAGAAAAGGGAATTCAACAAACAGCTTTGGAATCTAGACACTAAACTAATACTAGTAGTCTGTTCAGTTAGAGACTTGGATTTAAACAGCTTAAATCCAGCCCACTAAGATCCAGCCCTGTGATTTTGATAGAATGGGGTAGGCTTTGTTGCCAGAAAGTTGAAAAACATAGAGGTCATAAGATGATAAAGCAATTATATAAGTTATGTAATTATGTGTTATTTTAGTGATGAATTAAATATGCAAACAATTTAGGAAAAAATGGGAAGGAGCCTTATCTGAAAGTTACTAAGCCCATGTTTAAAACATAGGGGTGTTGAAGAGATAAGCTATGCCAGAAATAGCCCTAACAAGCACACAGCTCCCACTGGTAGATGCCAGTGCCTAGTAAAAGCATCTCTGGTGGGGTTTCCATTCGGACTTGATAACATTTCTCTAACACAATCAAAGCCACCTTACCAGTTTAACTTCACTTGCCTTTTTTTTTTTTAAATGCTGCATGACTAACCACTCTTTCTCATTCCATCTGCCCACCTCCCAATAGATGAAGATGCAATTTCACCTTGCACACAGCTAACCCTCTCTCTTCTTTTGTTTCTTTAAAACAGAAATGTATATCCTCTGAGTTTCAAGAGATACTTACATATAAAACTGTTTCTTCATTTTCCCTTTTGCAGCATAGGGCCCCAAAAACCATCCTTTATAATCAGTAAATACAGTTTTTCCATTTGCAAAATGCTTCTCATATGTACAGTCTCAGGCTATGTTGAATTTTTGAGGTTTTTCTTTTTAATCATTCAAAAAATATGCCACCCACTCCTCAAACTTGAAACCAGACTTCATACTCAGAATAATTCATTAATTTAAAACATTCACCTAATTGCTTTAAATGTTACAATTAATAGCTATGACTCCATTTTTCTTCTTTAAAGTAATTTTTATTAATGATCATTTTAGAAATTATCTTTGTCCTGAGCCCCCGCATCAGGTATATTCTTTAAAAACAACTTAAACTCTTCATTTTAGCATTTGGTTCCTTTTCTTTTTAATGTACATTTCAGCCCCATGCCTTCCACTACTGCTTCTTATCTTTAAAGACAGCATAAGAAATAGGTACCACCAGGGTACAATTAAGTCTTTTTTATTTTCTTGAGCAAGTCTTTCTCATGACTTGATCAGTCCAGGTTTGTCTCCATTAGAGCATAAGTCTATCACCTCTACTTTGTGCAGAATTAGTTAAAGAGTGATTTTTAAATGAGATTCTGCAATCTAGTGCAAACAGAAAAAAAAAAAATTGATTGCCGAATTAAAACAAGTTGGGACATAATTTAATTAGTACCCAAGCAGAAGGGAAGAGAAACTACTTTAGAGCCTTAATAGAAAATCAATTTTGCAAGAAATTTTCACATTTTTAAGCCTAATTAGAAAAACATTTACTTCAGAGAAAACCATTTGGAGAATGCATATTCAATCAAATAGAAGTTTGTCAGCTTCCAATGGTCAATTCCTTGACTTTTCTCTGGAATAGGTTAAAGTCATTATTCCTATTGGCATCCATTACATCCAAGGATCATGAAAGAACTGATGCTCTGAGCTTACTTAGCAGGCAGACAGTAGCTCTTGCCCTCTGAGAACCTCTGCACAGCCAATCAATGCCCTGAGTGGAAATCCTTATGAAAGGTTAACTGTTGGAACGTGAAACATGGATGCCAGTAGGAACCTTCCTTGTGGTTCACGATCTATCACATTAAAGAAATGCAACAAAGACACCTACTTTGATTTATGACCCTCCAGGAAGGTGTACTTGTTTCTTTTGTTGCTTGCGTCGTATCTGTTCTCCCCATCAGACTGTAAGCTCCCTGCAAGCTGGGCCGTACCTGTTGCTCCCTACTGTGAAACCAAGCGTGATCACAGAGGCGAGCGCACAGTGAGTGCGCAAGCATTGTTACGGGTGGATGAATGGGGAGAAGTATTTATTATACTACGAAAGATGTTTCAAGACTCCCTTTTTAAAATCCATGTTAGTAATAGTCATTGTGTTCTTGTTTTACAAATGAAGTCTAGAATATTCTGAAAGCCCTTCAAAAAAATATCC